AAGTCTGCATTGTTGTTGTGTGCCTTTGAGTTGGTTCCAACTCATGGTGGCCCCATGTATGACAGATTTAAACTCTGCCCTGTCTGTCCCACATCATTCTCACAATCTTAGCTATAGTTGAGCCCATTGTTACAACCACTGTGCCTATCCATCTCATTGTGTGTGTGTGTGCGTGCGCGCGCGCGGAGGGAAAGGGATCCTTCTTTTTTATTGATCCTCCAAGAGTGATGTCCTCCTCCAAGGCTAACTCCTGAAATCATGTCTACAGTATATGAGACAGAGTTGCACCATTGTTTCCAAGAAGCAAGCTAACTGTACTTCTGAAACAGATTCATTCCTTCTTATGGCAGTCTACGGTATATTCACTATTCCTTGCCACCACCATTCAAATGTATCAATTCACCTCCAGTCTCCCTTATTCAATGTCCAACATTGAATTGGCATACATCTGAGGCGAGTGAAAATGCCCTGCTTTGGCTAGGCTCACCTTGGTCTTCAAAGCGACATCTTTGATTTTTAGTTCTTTAAAGAGGTCTTTTGCAACAGATTTATCCAGTGCAATGTCTTCTTATTCTTTTTTGACAGCTGCTCTCGTGGCTGTCATTAGGAATCCAAGTCAAATGAAGTCTGCATAGTGAGCATTTCACCAGGATAACGGTGGTAAGTTTGATCACTTGAAATTAAAAAAAAAAAGTAGGTAGTGGAGGGAGAACCTCCACAAAAATATATGCCCAACAGGTGTTCACCACCTTCCTTAGTCACTGCTTTGGTGCACAATGCCAACAGTTGTCTCCGTAACTGACATGGTCCTATGTCCACTGTAGAATCGCTTTCACTGGGGGAGGCGGAGAAAAAAATGAGCGGATACCAAGGGCTCAGTTGGAAAGAAAATGCTTTGAAAATGATGACAGCAATAAATGTACAAATATGCTTGACACAATGGATGGATTTATGGATTGTGATAAGAGTTGTATGAACCCCCAATAAAATGATTTTTTTAAAAAGAATCACTTTTACCATGTGAGTTAGTTAATTGTGCCAGCCTGGCTGATAATCACATGTGGGGCTAATTGAAAGGCAGAGGGATAAATGGGTGGTGAGCCTCACCTTTGTTGTTCTCGGGTCTCTCTTGCTTTGTGATGGTTGCACCAGGATGCAGCTGCCTTAGCAGTTCCCTGCTTCAGCTTGCAAGATTGACTTCCTACAAGACATCCCCAAGGAGAAGCCGCATGGACCTATCCCGATGCAGCCCTGGGTGCTGGAGCAGCCGTGTGGAGACCCCTGCTAGTGCTGAGATGCTTATTCGTTTACTGACTCAGCTTTCCTCCTACAGTCGGCATCATTGCCTCTGTTTTGTGAGATGGAGGACTTTGTGGACTGGTGTTGGGTTAATGGGTTAATGTTAGACTTGTGGGCTTGGGCAGCATTGGGTTGGGATGTTTTCGTGATGCACGTTTCCTTTACATAAAACTCTCTCTTACACATGAGTCACTGTGGATTTGTTTCTCCAAAGTACCCAGACTAATACACCATGATTCAGTATTAGCTGAATTATTTGGAAATTCTAGTCAAAAGTAATAAGTATGTTATAAGCAAAATGAATAAATATAGTGCCATCACGATTTAAAATATAACTTAAAATTTATTTAAATATATATGTATGTCGAGGACATTGCTGTCTCAGTAATAGGACTCTTGCCTTCCATGTGCCTTTTCTCTGCAGACACCAATTGTCTGTCAGAGGAAGCATGTGAGTTGTATGATGATGAGCAGGTTTCAGCAGTTACCAAAAAAGACAGATTGGCAGGAAATGTCTAGTGATTGACTTCCAAAAATCAGCCAATGAAAACTCTATAGATCACACCAGTCTACTCCCCACCTGCTTATGGGGATTGTGCAGCATTTCATTCTGTTGGGCCTGGGTTGCCACAGATTGGGGGGCTGACTCAATGGCGGCTAACAGCCACACACCTATGTGACTGCTTGTTGCAAACATCTGTCTCGTCTTTGCAATCCCAGCGATGGGTCCATGATGGATCCCATCTTTTGTGTCCACTTAATGGAATGCAAATTCTCATGGATTAAGTTTACAAACTGAATCAAATAATCTCAGCCCATAAAAATTGATTATGGTTCATTCAACTCACTGACACCCAAGTTATGGTTCCACTCTGACCTATAGGACAGAGTAGAACAGCCCTTTGGGGTTTCTAAGCCTGTACATCTGCACAAGAGTAGAAAGTCTCACCTTTCTCCAGCAGAGTGCTTGGTAAACTCTAACTACTGTCCTTGTGCTGAAGGCGCCCCAAAGTACAGCCCACTATGCCACAACGGAAGTTCAAAATTCTTCAAAATAAGACCAACACATTTTAATCCTATTAGATTTTTCATGTTGGGATAAGAAAAACAATTAAAGGCTATTTTCCCTTAGTTTTGTATTTACTGAAATATGTAAGTTTCTCTCCAAATTATGCTGAAACATTATGAGATAAATAAAAATCAACAATCAAAATGACAGTTAAAATCTTTATTGATCATAGCTTTGTTTAAAAACGAACCTATTTACAACATTTTCCAAACCTGACTCAAAACCTAGTCCAGCATCTTTCTCAATATTAAAACCCACAAAAGCAGTTTCACCACCTAGCAACCTTAATCTTCAAAACGTTATGTGAAAAAAAAACCCTGCAATTAAAAAATAAAAGCCCCATGAAATTAAACATTGCGCACAACACAATTTGCTTACATCAAATTACTAAGAGAAGCCAACAACACTTGCTTACATCAAACTGCTAAGAGAAGCCAACAACACTTGCTCACATCAAATTGCCAAGTGAACCATCACAGTTTTGTCAGGCTCTTGCACTGAGCAAAGGCACAGGGAGCTGCATGTGACACCACCAACCACATGGACTCGGGTTTCCTATTGTGAGATTTACAATTGTGCTATTGTACAACTGCTGGATTGAAATATTCCTTCGTAATATCCTATAGGTAAAATAGCCATTTATCATCTTTTTACTAATAATATGGTATTCATTTATTTTGTTAGAAATTATTCATAAGTCCTAAACTACTAGACTGGTACATCCTATTAATAAAATGATCCTTGCTTATCCTTAGTCTATGACTATCTGTCTAGTAAGTATATATGAGAAATAGAAATGTTATTTAATATTGACCCCATATTTAGCACATTTTGTGGTGAAGCATCTACTGGCTTTTAAAATTTTATCTAACTTAAGCTAACCTAAAAATCCGTTGCTCTCTTTAAAAAAAACACTAAGCAAATATTTAGTTTCTATTCATAATACATCTCAATTTTTAAAAAATTGTTGTTTTGGGAAGGAATGATTTTATATAAGAGAAATGCTTTTTCACTTTGTATTACTCGTTATTAGGAGCCTCTTGATGGACTTCTGTAAATAATGAAAGGGATTAGGAGATGTGATAATACCATAAAATAACGGTATGTAAGTTTCTTTAGCAAAAAAAACCACATGAGCACCACTGAACTAAATGGAGATTTTAAGAGCCCACTGCGCTCTACTGGATTCTGACTCCTAGTGACCCTGTGAGACCGAGCAGAACAGCTCTGGGGGGTTTCTGAGATTGTCAATCTTTACAAGCGCATACAGCCTCATCTTTCTACTTCGAAGTGGCTGGTGGATTTTAATGGCTGGCCTAGCAGGGAAGCAGCCCAATGCTTAGCCCACTGCGCTACTGGGGATCCTTCTTTTTTAAAATCCTTTTATTGGGGGCTCGTACAACTCTGATCACAATCCATCCATTCATCGTGTCAAGCACATTTGTTGCCATCATTCTCAACATTTTCTTCCTACTTGAGCCCTTGATATCAGCTCATCCCCCCCCCCACCCTTCCTCTGTCATGAACCCTTGATAATTTATTTTTCATGTCTTACACTATCCGACGTCTCCCTTCACCCACCTTTCTGGTGTCCATCCCCCAGGGAGGAGGTTGTGTGTAAATCCTTGTGATCGGTTCCCCCTTTCTCCCCCGACCTTCCCCTGCCCCTCCTGGCATCACTGCTCTCATTATTGTTCCTGAGGGGTTTAACTGTTCTGGATTCCCTGTGTTTCCAGCTCTTATCTGTACCAGTGTACATCCTCTGGTCTAGCCAGATTTGTAAAGTAGATTTGGGTATGATAGTGGAGGTTGGAAGCTTTAAAGAACTAGAGGAAAGTTGTATGTCTCTTCGGTGGTATACTACATCCTGACTAGCTGGTCTCCTCCCCATCACCCTTCTGTAAGGGGTTGTCCAGTTGCCTAAAAATGGGCTTTGGGTCTCCACTCCACTCCCCCTCATTCACAATATTTTTTGTTCTTTGATGCCTGATACACACAGACTGGTGTGCTTCTTCCATGTGGGCTTTGTTGCTTCTCAGCTAAATTGGCTGCTTGTTTATCTCCAAGCCTTTAAGACCCCAGATACTATATCTTTTGATAGCTGGGCCCCAGCAGCTTTCTTCATCACATTTGTTTATGCATCCGCTTTGTCTTCAGCAATCGTGTCGGGAAGGTGAGCATCATGGAATACCAGTTTAATAGAACAAAGTGTTCTTGCATTGAGGGAGTACTTGAGTAGAGGCCCAATGTCTATCTGCTACCTTAATACTAAACCTATAAATATATGCATAGATCTATTTCTCTGTCATAAATATATTTACATATGTACATGCCTATATTTAGACCTCTATTAATGTAGGGATCCTTCTTAGAGTTTTTTACTAACTTTTAAAGCTCTGGCCTGCTGGCTTTACATCGACTATACTGACACATGAATATTAATGGCTCGTTTTGCCATCATGGTTAACCTTCTGTGTTGTAATTCAACTTTCATGTATCTCCTGTCGTTAACACTTTATGAGACTCAGTTGTCTGTCTTTTTAGCTCAGGCCCATTAGTCAGATCATATTTTCATAGTGGTGTTTTCTTTTACACTGTTAGCATTATGGAAAATTACCACCTCATTTATTACTTGGGAGTATTAGAAGCATTTATTGACACAATGTTTTCTAATAAACTGTTTGGCAAATATTTGACAACTAACAAGCAAAAAATCAACTGTAACCTATGTGGCTTTCTTCCTTTGCTGATTTTTATGAAAATAAAAAACTTGGGACCACACGATAATGTTGACTATTTGAGGTTTGAGGAACAAAGTCCTCATTTTGTTTGCTAAAGCTAATGCTAAAGCATTCCTTTAGCATAGAGTATGTATTATTTCTGTCACCACAGTGCCTACGACAATACGCAATACATTTGGAGCTCGCTAAGGAGAAGGAGTGACCAATCACAAGACTGGAAACAATGAACTCCTAAATGACTGTTTCTCTAGTGCAGATATTTTCAGAAAATGTGTTTTGTGGCCACCGCTCAAAAATTTACCAATTGCTTAATTTGTTCCGTTTGTAACGACTGTCTCCTTAACAACATTTTTTTACTTTTGAATTCTTTAGGGAAAAGAGGAGCCGTGGGCATCAGCACTTTCTGACCACAAGAAAGAAGACTAGGCGTCTTGGTGCTGACACTGACATCCGAGAGGGGAGCATAAGGATTCACATTCAAAGGGGGCAGAAACCCTGGTCTGCTTTGTGCAACACTGTGATCTAAAGGGAACGCTCCGGAACCACGTCTTTCTAAAACTGCCTGGTTTCTCCTGCTCAGAGGGCCAGAGGGGATATTCTCCAACAGTTCTTTGGGCCCTGACACCAAAGAAGGGGATGGCGCGAGGATCTTTTTCTTTCCTGCAAATGCTTTGCTGTCTTCTAACATTGTAGGGGTCAGGCCAGCGGAGAGCTGGGAATCAGAGCTATAGTGATTTGCCCCAGAGTTTCTTTTCTGAACTATACTTCTTAAAGTGGAAGTAAATATTGCCTGGTTAGTTTCAGGGTCCTGGTCAACAGGGATCTCAACACCGTGCTGACTTCCTTCTGAAAATAACGACTGAAAATTCATTTCATCGTAGGACATCTTTCGCGAGCCAGCCTGGTCAAAGGCTCGTAACAAATGGGCAGTGTCTTTTACATCAATGCTCTGGTGCCTGGTGATGAATCGCTTGGAGAGTGCCAGGCCAATGGTTTTGTAAGATAATTCTTCCTCTGGAGTAATGTCTTGGAGCTCCTCTTGCAGGGAGGCCACTCGGTTCTGGTGAGCCAAGGATGGGGTACTCTTGATCCAGAGCGGAGCCTGGGGCAGCTTGGGCCCGTTAGGGCCCATCGCGGGCTTCAGCACCGGGGAGCTTGGTTCCCATGAGTCATCACTGCTTCCTGAGGGCTCCGGATCTTTGAAGACAAATGAAGTCATTTCCAGTTCCGGTGACTGTGGAAGGGGTGACAAGACTGTGGCTAAGTCTATTTCTGAAGGAGAAGCACAGGTGGCTAGTGGGTGACTCCCATCTGTATCCACAGGAGGCATATTCAAGTACTGTTTGGTAGTGTGTCTCCCACAGGCCGATTTTGCTGTTGTGATGATGATGACGTCTTTACCTTTTGCCTTGCAAGCCCGGAGTAGGACTTTCAGGGTCTCGCTGTCTTCCGAATTGATCGCATATACAAGCGCCGAGTAACTCGAATGGTCTTGCAAGGTGAGGTCTGCCCCACTCTTCAGAAGCAAGGAGACAACTTCAGGACCAGCTTTTTCTAAGCAAGCGTGCATCAAAGCAGTTTTCCCGGATTTGTCCTGAATGTTGGGGTCAGCATTCTTTTCTAACAGGTATTTCACCATTTTGGCTTTACTGACACTCTGGTGATCAACATGTTTAGTCTTACAAGCAATCATCAAAGGCGTTTCCCCACGATCATTACTCTCATTAATGTAGGCGCCACCTTCTAGCAAGAGTCTTGTAAGGCGAAGCCGGCTCTGATGGACCGCTTTGATCAGGGAATTTCCATCACTGGAGATCTCTATACCTTCATCCATCTTCAAAAGTCAGACATCAATACCTGGTTTCCAAAGAAAATGGAGACCAAAAGATTAGTCAAAGTCAACACCCCCATTTATTCTCAGTTTGCTCTTCAAAATGAATTTCTAAAACATTAATCAGAGAAAGAGGCGGAATTTTAGAGGACACAAATGGGGTTGTGTAATTAAGTGCAAAGAAAGTAGTGACTTGCAAAATACAAGACATTTCAGAATAGTAAATCCTTTAGGGAATTATGAACTAAAATTTATTTTCAAAATCTTCATTGAATATTTTTAATGATAACACACATCTCTGAATCCCACATTAATTAAAATAAGATTCCTTTATTTTCTAATCATAAAAAATATTTTGAAAAATATTTAAAATACAATTTCATGTCAAAAGCCAAAATTCTTTGTCATTGCAACTGAATCAGTTGAAGCATAACATTTATTATGACTTTATGCGAAAGTTCCAACCCTTGTCGATCAGTGTGGTCATACTGGGGTGGCTTGCATGTCGCTGTGATGCTGGAATCCATATGCCCAATATTTCAAATACCAGCAGGTTCACTTAAGGAAGAGAAGTGTCAGAGGAGCTTCCTGACTAAGACAAACTGAGAAGGACTAGGCAGAACACTTGTGAAAAGTTATCCACTGAAAACCTTATGGCTAGCAGCAGAACACCAACAGAGTGCCATAAGATCAGGCCTCAAAATGCAACTGAGGAAGAACTACCTCCTCAAAATAGAGACAACCTCAATGACAGGAACGGAGCAAAACTTTCTGGACCTTCATTTGCTGATGAAGAAAAAGCTGCAAACCTGCATTAGTAATAGGAATGTAGGAACTATGAATCTAAGAAAATAGGAAGTTGTCAAAAATGGAACACAAGGATTGCTATCTTGGTCATTAGTGAGCTAAAGTGGACAGGACCAACAATGTCAGACAGCAACTGAGATTGCTGAGATTAACATACAGGATAATGCCACTCAGAAGTCCACCCATATGTAGAAGTAAGCCAAAGTAAAGCAACCTTGTAAGACTGACAATAGGGGACCAGAGATATAAAGTTGTAATGAAGATCGTTATTAAGTAAAAAGAGGGAATCATGTAATTCCAGAACTTGCAAATGGAGAAGGCAGTATACCCTAAGAGGGAGACTGCTGAAGAAAGATTGAGGCAAGGGAGGAAACTAGGAGGAGCATGCGAAGTAAAGAAATCTGAGATAAATACTGTTGTTATCCCCAATCCTGCAACAATGGTGATCTCGGAGCAGATGTGTGCATAGACGCATAGATTTAGAGAGGTTTGACAGAGGACATTTGTACATGGTGGTTTACCTTTGCCACAATGATCTCCATGAATGTGGTGGAGCACACAGAGGGTAAACTTATGAAAACTTCTCTGACACAACCAGGCACTTGAAGAGTCACTGGGCTGGAGGGCTTAGGACTACAGTCTTAGGAGACACCAAAGTCCCGTGACATACCATAGCCTACCAAATCTATACCATACTTTGGTGAGTACTTACAGAGGTCTTAAAAGCTCATGCGTGGTCATCTAAAGTGCAGCCATCGGTTTCTCCTTATTTGGAGGAAATAAGAGGGATAAAAATGAAGTCCCTTCAAGCCTTTAAGAACCCAGATGCTGTATCATTTAATAGCAGGGCACCATCTGCTTTCTTCAACACTTTTGCTAATGCACCCCCTTTGTCCTCAGCAATCTAGTAGGGGCAGGCTGGTGTGCTTCCTCCGTGTGGGTTTTGTTGTCTCTCAGCTAGATGACTGCTTGTTTATCTTCAGGTCTGAAGACAAACAGGTGGCCATCTAGCTAAGAAACAACAAAACTCACAAGGAAGAAGCACACCAGCCTACCCCGACACGAATGCTGAAGACAAAGCGGGTACATAAGCAAATGTGGTGAAGGAAGCTGATGTTGCCAAGCTGTCAAATTACACAGAATCTGGGATCCCACATGCTGGAAGATAAAGAAGGGGCCATCTAACTGAGAAACAACAAAGCCCACATGAAAGAAGCACACCAGCCTGTAAGATGACAAGGC